CTACCTCTTCCACCAGAAGTCACAAACGCCTCGTCTATTACACCCCCGACCACTCTGAAGGTGAAATTAAGGTAAGCCGCACTAGTCTTCGTTTCAATGTCTATTTTGATTTTGATTCCTTTGATGTCAAATCTGTTCAATTTCCTATTTCAGTGAGTCGGCTTCATCGCCATCTCGCCCTGTAATAAGTTCAGCTCTTGTCAATCATTCAATCACAAAATCGACAGCGATTTCACCATCTATAGCTCGCAGACGTCCACGAGCTTCTGGAATTGTGTCCCCTTTAAGTAGTGAAGGACTTCCAATTCTTGTGAAACCGCCGAACCCTACACGACAATCGAATCTTCCGGTGAGTCGCTTTTGGAGATACTGTTCCATTTCATCTTCTTGCATGTGAACTTGAGTGGTAAATTCTTACTATTACAGAATAGTAATCAATTGGAGGCCGTTGTGAAAACACCGCAAACGATTGCATCCATTGACGAGCCGCATAAATTGACTTTCAACCGGAGAGTATCTTGCCATCGTCGGGGTTTGAGTGAGGCCTCGGCTTTACTTCTCAAAGCCAGCAATGTCAGACAAACGAACAGTTTGGGTGATCTACAACCCACCCCGAATCCGTTAGTCTTCTCTCCTTTAAAGTGATCGCTACTTACTGAATTGCAGCAGCTGGTATTTTGCCTTCTAGATTTGAGTCGAAAAGTCCTGGAGTGAAAAACGACATTGATGTAGATTTATTTGGCGCAGCCTTTGATGCCATTCGAAATCAAAGTCGAGCACCTGACAAGGTAATTGGATTTTGGCGGCATTTTTTTGCTGACTTCTTCATTTAGTCAAGAAGTAATGGAAGTTACCGAAATAGCACCGATTCTGGACAATTCAAAGATGACATGCAAAGAACGAACTGAGAGGAGCTTTATTATTATTATTATTATTACTTATCCTTTTAGATGGCTATTCCATGATAAACACAGCTACGAATCACTTTCCTTATGCATTTGAAATTGTATGCCAACTAACTCCCACCTGATCTCTTAATCTGCTAACTAATCGAAACGGATTCCTTGTGAAATTCTTCCAAATGTTTAACGTGTCTTTCTTCTACGTGGAATTTTTTCTCTTCATGGTTGGAGTAGGTTCATGCGTACCTAAAGGCGTTTTGGTCGTAGTGTGCAATAGCATTTGAAGTTGGTATATACTTAATGAATGTGACTTCTTTACTAATTGTTGAATATAGATGTTTCGAGAGCTTAATAAACTAAATTGGGTTATTAACAGTTATCTAAAAAGTGTGTAAGAGGTCTGCCCTATGATTATGTCGTGAAAATGATGACGAAAAGAGTTATCAAAGACCTCTAGGTAGACCAAAAGAGGAAAAGTTAGCAATTGTTGCTTATTATGGTTTCCTTTCTTACTTCCATGTTCAGTTCCTGCATACTCATCGAGTTCATCTTGAGCATTGAATGTGTTTGGATAAAGCATAAAAAATGAAGCAACTTTCCGAAAAATTGTCACTTTAACATAATGCAACTACAAACCACCAACCAGGTTGGTGCTTCATCCCGTCAGCCAATTGTGAGTAGGAGTTTAGAGCAGCCTTCGGGTAGCTTCTTCCGGAGGCATATTCAACGGCAATTCCAAGATCCTTTCGATGGTGATTGGCCTTCAGGCGAAATTGGCCGCATGCTTCCAGTCCAACACCTTTTGAGGCTTCTTGGTCCTTCCCCCACGCCCATCTTCCTTACCTTCCATAGGCATTTGTGGCATTTCATTATGCGATGGCGTATTAATACACCTTTCTATAGCAAATATATTGCCTTTCCTCCAACACTATCATCAAACGATGCTGATTAATTTGATAAAATTTAATATAATAGGTCGAATAATGATTATTTTACCTTATAGAAATGAAAAAATTATGCATCGAGAGATGCAGATAAATTCTTAAATCTAATTGTAAAAGTATATATTGGTGGCATAGTTTGATGTTTGAAGCAGATTGTTTGCTCAGTGTTGTCAATACTTTGTGAATAATGCTAATAGAAATCTTGCAAAATAAGTGGTGAATAATTGAAATTAGTGGTGAAAAAGATGATCCCAAATTTTGAATATGTTGTTCGCTGAAGCCTCCAGTAATAATAGTTTACAGGCACTTTTAGTGAGTGAATATCCAAAGCAACCACAGAAATCAGAACAATGTCCCAATTTATTGCAAGGCAAATTCAAAATTATTTTCTTTATCGCACATACCCTACGCGTGGAATCAAGCTTATTTGGAGACGTGAATCTATATAGTTTGATTCTACTTAGCGTAGTTTAAAGTAAAACAGTAGGATAAGCGAAAATGGAGTGAAATACCTACAGTAAGAAGGTCATGATGCAAAAAATGTTTGTATTGAGAATCAAAGTACACAAAGTCTTCTACGAATTATTACTGGTGGCGAAAAATATCTCAAACTCAAGGTGCTTTCCCAATCGATATGGTGGGCGAGCCTATTTTTAGGTTTTAATTAAGCAAAGATAGGCAATGTTTACGAGTTCTTCCATGACATTAAGTCACATTCTGTCAAGAATTGCATTAAGTTTTATTTACAAAAAAATGAAAAATTGAGGTTGCTCTTCAAATATGCCACTTATATGAAACATTCGCATATTTTCTATGCTCGATGAACATTTGTGGAATACGTCATCGCCTAACGCGTGATCGCATGCGCGCACAACCAATGGCCAATCAGAAGCCTTCGTTTGCTTAAGC